CCGCCACAGCAATCGCCCCCGCGGCAGACTCCGCCGCCTCCTCCACCACCGCCCAAGGAGACACAACAGCGACCAGAGCAGCAGCCTCAACAGCCGCAACAACAGCAACAATAACGTCCACTACAACCTCAGCTGCCGAAGCAGCCAGGGCAAACTTCCCAGAACCCTCAGCAAAAATCCATTTCTTCTTCAGCCGCCAAATCTTCGACCTCATCCAAGGTCGATGATCGTCAGAAGGTTGCCGACCGTCAACACAAATCTGACGACCGTCAAAAGACCACTGATCGTCAACACCAGGTCGACGATCGCTCGCAAAGAACTGAAGACCGCCAAAGGATCGACAACCATCAGAAAACCGATCGTCGAGCTCCCAATCCCAAAGACTCCGCTTCTTCCAAAATCATGGACAAATCTCCCGAGCCCCACTCCTCATCCAAGACCCAAGCTTTAAAAAAGCCTCCTCTCGACCAACAATCCCTCAAGACCCAATCTGCTGGCTCGACCAAGGCACTGGTCGAGTCCAGCAGTAAAGTTGATACCGGGCGCGAGACAGTGCTAGGTAAACGGTCTCGCACCGATCAAGGTACGGTCGTCTGGAAGCGGGGGCGCGACAGTTATCTTCCTCCTGACCCCCTTGCCCCGAAGCCGACGTCCTTGATGTCGGCGTCCGCGAATGAGGTGGTCGAGCGCCTCGAGGGTGTTCTCCTCGAGGACGATCGCAAAAAGCTTGGCCCCACACTGCCTGAATTTGGGGATCAATTCGTTCAGTGGATTGCCCAGGTATTGTTTTCCTCGCGTTTTCCTGTCTCCTTTCCTATGCTTCACCTGTTACACAAGCTTTGAACTGTGCCCTCTTCACTGATTACAGGGCTTGGTCCAATTCTTGCCCACAGTGCTAGAGGCTCGCGACAGCTCCAGGAAGTCCCTGAAAAGCCTCGAGAGCACAATTAAGTTCTTGCAGGATAAGAACTCGACTCTCGTAAAGCATAATTCCCAGCTCCGCGAGACCCAAGTGGAGCAGAAGACTGAGTTCGACGTCAAGCTTAGATCCCTTGATGAAGAGCTCAACAATAAAAGCAAGGCTCTCGCGGAAAGAGACGCTGCCCTCGCAGCTAAGGATGCGACAGTAGCAGAAAAGGAAGCTGCGTTGAAAGAGAGGGAGAAGGCACTCGAGCAGGAGCGAGCTGCCCGGGTCGAGGCAGAAAAGACTCGGGCAGATTTAGAAGCGGCTCGAGCACAAGCAGAGGCTGCTCGAGCACAAGCAGAAGCTGCTCGAGCAGAGTCAGATGCCACTTTAACGAAGGAAAGGGCTGCCCATGCTCACCAACTCAAGCGCTACGCTGATGCGGTGGCTCTCCGAGCTCGGCAATTGATGTGGGCGACCACCACGGGGCAACTCTTCCTTAAAGAATATCGCGCTCAAACGGTGGCCGATTTCGTGCAGTCGCCACAGTATCTGAAGGAGGTTCAAGATTTCGGGGTAGACTGTTTTCAGTTTGCCCTTCAGAAGGCAGGCGAGCAAATCGCTGAGGATGATTTCGAGCAACTCGATCCCTTGGCTATCTGGGACGCCTTACCCAAGGTTCCTCCCAGCTTCCAGGGTGATCCATCCTTGCCGCTCGAACATGAGTGGTGTTCTGGGTTGCTCGAAAGAACCTTGGCTCGATCAGATATACTCACGAAGACATATGCCTTGCCCGATGGTCTAACTCCCCATGCTCCTATGTTGGCTGCCTTAGCTGAGTCTATCCGGCAGCGTCCTCTCGATGATGCCTGCG